CTCAGGGGAGGAGGCGGAGCAGAGGTGAGCTGGGGCACGGAGTTCCCCTGTGTGCCGCCCCCCCCTCCCTTACTTGCTGCAGGCAGCCCTCCCCGTGCCCCCCTTCCCCAGCTCCCTCCGCCTAAATGCCACCGCCGACCGGGGCGACCGAAGTTTCGGCCGCCGCAGTCACTGCCGCCGAATAACCCGAAATGCCGCTCCCCAAATGCTAGTGCCCTAGGCGACCGCCTAGGTCGCCTAATGGGTTGCACCGGCCCTGCTTCAAGGGCAAAGTAATATGAAGGGGGGAGGGGTAGCTCAGTGGTTTGCGCATTGGCCTGCTAAGCCCAGGGTTGTGAGTTCAATCCTTGAGGGGACCACCTAGGGATCTGGCGCAAAATCAATACTTGGTCCTGCTAGTGAAGGCAGGGGGCTGGACTCAATGACCTTTCAGGGTCCCTTCCAGTTCTAGGAGATAGGATATCTCCATTAATTTAAATTTATTTATTTAAGGTATTGTAACAGATACTAGGAGGAAGTTTGCTGATGTGTCTGTCCAGGTACTTATATGGTCCTCATCACCGTAGTAACCTATGGTGACCTGTCTGCTTTGATCAGCTTTTCATTCATTTTCTGTCTGTTGAACTCTTTAAGGCTTGGGGTTTTATTTGAAACGCATGCTGGGCCATCTGGCCTTTCCATACTAAGTGATAGAGAGTTTTCATCAGTACCAGCTGCTAAGGGTGGAGAAATATATCTGTGCTCTCACACCTTTTCTTAGCATTTTCTCAAGTTTGGGGACAATACACAAACTCACTTTATGTCTCTCATTGCACTGTTTGATAAACATTTAGATTAATGGCTTCAGCCTGCATCCCGTACGAAAAAAAAGTCCTGTTGACTCCATTGGACCTACTAATGGATTGGGTCCTTCCTATGTGGACCATTAAGACCTTTATGAAATATAAACTAAGTATGGTCCCTTTTCTTCCACAGTGGCCAAAATTCAGCTCTTGTAATAGAAATTTCAGGAAATCCCCTCAATTATATAGAGGGGCAGATCTCTGCATTCAGTGCTCCATATCAACTAAAGTGAAGGGAGACTTGTCTTGCTCAAATGTAGCATTGCATGTTGGGACCTGCAGTCACTGCAATCACACTGTATTAAAAGCTGGGGACCTCTGTGATCTGCTCCATTTAGTGAAAATGAGTGCAACCCTCTGGTTCAATGCCATCTCCACACACAGAGGTTGCCATCAATTTTTTGGGGGCAAGGGTGGGCATGCTTGCTTCCAACCACTGTGTTTGATCTTCATGCTCTGTCTCTTGGAACTTGTCCCAAGCATGCCAACATGAAGTGCTGCAGGCCCAGGCCAATCCTTTGAAGTGTCATGGTAACCAGTGCCTAGGAATCTGCGCACATCTTCTGACTGGTTGCAAGTGACTTAGTGTGGAGGTACAGTATGAAAATGGCTGACAAGCTCTGTCCCACTTGTCACTAATTTGAATCTGGTATGGGATCATTACAAAGCCAACGTCAAGGCCATTCCACAAAGTGATTATCCTCTGATATACTGGGCCCAATTTTCAAACTTAAGTGCCTAAATAAGATGTTCAAGCCAGCATTTGGATAATTAAATTAGCACTTGAGATGGGCACGTTAGCATCATGCACTTAGCATCATAAGTCCACGTACGTGCCAATGCAGACTCGGATGCAAGGTTTGAGCATTCTATTGTTTTGGAGACCTCCTTTGAAAATTGGTCCCACTCTCACTATCAAGGAAGATAAGCCATTTTAAAAAACATTGAAGTGTAACATACAAATATTTCTCCAAATATAACAGTATCTTTTTTTCTTTTCTTTATTTCTTGTACACATTTCAAGTCGTTTTAGTGTTTCAGGAAGTATCCTTTCTAACAGAGACAAAATCCTGAATGAGGGCAATTATTTGAAGCAGAATACAATTGCTGGCTTTTCAGATTATGTGATTCCAAAAAAGCCAGAGAAAACGAAGTTCAGCTTGGAAAATGCAGCAGACCACACAGACAAAAAAGATCCAAAAGGTAGTAAGTTTTTGAATATTATCTAAAATCAGATTTTAAAAGATAAATAGAACATGAAATTCTGTCTGTGTAATAGGTTTGCACAGATGTATTTGTCGTGTAGGCACAGGACTAGGAATTGTGGGCTCAGCATTCTGGTCCCAACTCTCCCAGAAATTTCCTGTGTGACCTTCAGTAAGCCACTTAACTTCTCTGTGTCTCAGTTTCCTCATCTTGCAGCTGTAAAACAAGGATGCTGATGATACTTTCCACGTGGGGTGTTGTGAGGATTAATTAATTAATTGACTCCCTTCTCAAACTTCAACTGTTATGGTAATGTACCTTATAGCAGTGGCTAGAAATACAAGTAGTAATGTTGGCACTAGAGTAATCATACTCATTCTGAAATTAGGCAATCGGCTTTTGTCATTCCATGTCTGCTACACTCTCTTTGGCCACCAGAGGCCACAGGGTGTAGTCCTCTACCCTACCAATACTGGTCCATGCTGTTGAATGGGGCACCATGGCCTGCTGTGATATTTTTTCTTCTCATTCTTGGCTGATGTCATTGTTTGCATGTCTATGTATGGCCAAAGAGTGGGCAGTAAAAGATGCCATAAGGGACACTTCAGGATCTATTGATGCATTCAAGGTATGTAACATGCTGATCCTGTTGACAGCTGATGCAGCATCATGGCATATAGCAGTACACATCTCCCATAATACATATAGTCCAAGGGATTGAATTAATTTAGTCTCACAACACCCCTTTGAGATAAGCAAATACCATTGTTCCTATTGTATTAATTAGGAAAATGATGGACAGAAAGGTCAAGTGATTGTCCTACAATTATAGAGGACGTATTTGGCCAAGCGTGGAATACATTCAGTTCTTCTGGCTCCAATCCTGTGCTGGAAGAACCTGGACCATGAGATCATCCTGCCCCCTCCCTTTATTACAGGTAGCACCACCATTATTCAGCAAATAGTAAGCATTATACAGCATGTTACATGATCAGAGCCCAGCTCCCATTGACTTCAGTCACAGTTGTGAGTGCTCACCACTTCTGTGAACCAGACCCCAGGATCTCAAGCCATGCACTCAGAAAAGAGGAGCACCCATTAATGACCATATGTGAAAAGTTTGGTGTAGGTGGCTTGCCTAGTATCACATAGGAACTCAGTGGCAGGGAGAGAAGCATTCCAAGGCACCATTCATCTGCCTCAACCACAAGACCATCCTTTCTCTTCCTGCAGTCCTCTTCCTCATTCACTACACACCTTCCACCACAAATGAGACAAGGTTCCTACAGACTGCCTCCATCACAATGCAATCCTGACTAATTCCCAGAGCAGGTCTATTCTGTGCACTGAATGAGGCAGGTGTCCTATGGAAAAAATAGTATGTGATAATGTAATTAAGGACTGTATCATTAAACATACATACCAGGAGGCCGAATTAAGATTAGACAGGCATCCTTACTAATTTTCTAACTTTCAAGTGCTTGACTGCAAAATCTTAACATTCTTTTAATGTAAGTTTTTTTGTGTGTATATATAGTATGAAGTAGGTTATAGAAGTGATTTATCAAGTGTATTAAATCACTTGCCTAATTTAGAGTTAGAGTACGTTGTTGAAGTCTTACATTCTGGCCACTACCAGGCTATGCTACCCATTCCAGTAAGTTTGTAACTTTTCGCCCTGTTTAATCTTAAAGGAGTACTCTCTCACCTCTAACAACAGGTAAAAGGAAAAGTTCTACTCCTAAAAGAGGCCCTGCTCTTAAAGAACGAAGGCAAAGCAACTGTAAAGTGTCCAATGCACAGACCCTGATTGCGGCATTGACAAAGAAGTGTGGCATAGCATCTTTGCAACTGGATCTCATGCCTCTCCTCTCAGGTACTGTTCAGTACTGGGGTGGAGGGAAGGAGGACTATGTGAAAATGCAGGTTTCCAAAGCACCCAAATGCATGCTAGAAGTGACTTCGGGAGTTACCATAGCAGATGACCATGGGGAGCATTGGGGTTCTGGAATGGAAGAGGGTTCTGGCTGGGGAGAAGAAAAATGGTTAGAAAGTTTAGTTGGGGTTTGGACTTGAACCAGGGAAGCCTGACATCTGCCTAGAGCTCTGTGTGCTCTGAGTGGCACTGGAAATTAGAGTGTTACAAGACTCTTGCAGGCTTCTAACAATGCAGACATACACTTTATTGGATCCTGTTTGGTTCCGGACCTGTTGGGGTGGAGTGTTATTCATAGGTGGAGAGGTTAGTTTCTCTGCATGTTCTAGATAGGGTTAGGGTTAAGGTTTGTGGTTCACATACATTGTTCTTTTTCCTGGTTTTCATGCATACTGTGTTCACTCTCTTTGTCCAGTTTTGTTCGTATTGTTGTAAGTAAATATTCCTTTTTTGTAATATTGAGGGAATGTGTTGAGCTGAGGGAATGTCTGACGGGGCGGAAAGAGGTGTGGATGGGAATTGAGGAATTGCACTCTGTCCAAAAGGAGGAACACAGGGAATGTTGATAACAACATAAAAATGTAGGCCCTGCGCCTACAAAGATGTTGTATGCTTGCTTAATTTTTATGCACTGTGAACAGACCCATTGACCTCAGTGGGACTACTCAATGCATAAAAGCTAAGCTTGTGTGTAAGTCTTTGCAGGGCTTATATAGAAACTCTACAAATCTATACTGTGGACCTGTTTGGTACCTTTGCGTGGCATCTATGTGTCTCTGTATGTCTTTTCTCTTTCTCTTGATATGGTACGTTTGTGTGTGTGTATGTGTGTACAGTAAGGCAAATTTGGTGATTCTATTAACGCCCAAAATTAATTATAAAAAATAAGTATTCAGCTTCTCTCTAGCTATTTTTTTTACAGTAGCCAAAAGAGCCATGGAGAGGGATAAAGGCTGTAAAATTTATACTTGCTCTGTGCTGTGGAAATATTAAGCCATATAAATAAAGATGTGAAATACCATCTCACTATAAACTTCTTATAAGTTTTTATTTTTGTAAAAGAAACAGTTTTTCATTATCTCCAATTTCATATTTTAAGGTTGGGAAAGAGTTTAAGCTGGAAAAAAGGGAAGTGGCAAATATGTCTGGGGTTTGTACGTAATGGCATTTTCATTCAAAGGGATCACATTTTGAGCCTGTGCTGCTTGTCTTTCTAAAGATTGTGACAAGTGAGGAATGTCATAGGAATTCTAGATTGGTTTAGTTTGATTTTTAAAACCCACAACAACAAGTCATTACTAAGGTCTTGTCTACACTAAGGTGGGAGATCGATCTAAGTTATGTGAATAACGTAGCTGAAGTCGACATACTTAGATCTATTTACTGCGGGGTCCACAGTATGCTACATCAACGGGAGACTCTCTCCTGTCGACTTCCCTTGCACTTCTCGTTCCGTTGGAGTACAGGAGTTGATGGGAGAGTGATCTGTGGTTGATTTAGCGGGCCTCCCACCAATGCATCGATCCCCTGGTAAGTGTAAACAAGAAATTCATGTATGGGAGGGAGCCACTCTTGTGTCATACTCTCAAAGAATAACGTTTTCCCTCTGCTGGTAACCACCCAACATTATTTACAGAGCTGTTCATGTTCCTTCGAACTTCACAGCTGCTGCTGCTCCTGGAGCAGAAATCTGAAAATAAATAGCCATGGTAACTTCAGTTCCATTAGAAATACAGGACAACACAGGTTGGCAAACAGCCTCTGGGGTTGTGCACTTGCTTTATTTGTTCCATGCATATAAAGTAGCTCTTTCCTACAATTTTTCTATTGTTTTGACTTGAAGCTGAAACCTCAAGAGCTTTGATAGATCCACGGAACGATTATCTTGCTTCCATAGTATCTTCTGTAAAAACCTTTGGTACTTGGTAACTTCTTACAGCTGTACCCTTCAGTGTCTTCCTGCTGGTATGGCTATACATTTAAAGCTTTACACTAATTTCTTCCCTCCCAATTTATTTTAATGCAGTTAGTACCTGAGCTCTGGTCACACTGATTATTTGACATACTCTGACACACTGACTGCAAATGAAAGCTCTCCTTGTTTATTTGAACAAAAAAGACAACATGTTTAACACTCAGATGTTGGGCTTACCCAGCCTCTTGGAGAAGATTTACAGGATTGCTTTATTTCAATTTGCCTTCCCCCTTCCCTGCTGCCTCTCTCTGCACTGTTGTGCCCATGCATCTGGTGACCCAGTCACCTGTACAGCCAAGAACATAACTTCAGCTGCCTACCCTTTGCATATTGGCTGCTCTTCTGGCTTCCAAGCCCCTCCACCTGGTTCCTCTCTGAGCTTCCAAGCCTCTGGTCAGACATGAGGTCAGAGGGAGGAAAGGCAGTAGCCTTTTTGGGGGGTGGGGAGGGTGATGGGTAAGGAGGAGCGGTGCTGGTTTTGGAGAGGATAAAGGAAGACATTTTGATGGGGAAAGGCACTGAGGGGAGAGAAAAGGGTGAATGAGAGAGAGTGGGAGAGGTAAAAAGAGAGGGAGGAGGGGCACACATGCAGCATTAGTTTGGAGAAGAAGAGTGAGTAGCAAAGGACAAGAAATGAGAGAAAATGCAAGAGAATAAAAAATTCAGAAGAACAGGAGATACCAGGTTATAGAGACACAAGGGAGAGAGAAGCAAGAGATCAGACAGGCAGTGTGGGGAGATTTAAAAATAGAAAGGAGCCTGGTCCATGATAAATAGGATGGAAACTGTGATGCTGGAAGAAAACAGTGAAATTTAATATGGAGGTGTAAATACTCTGTGTGGGTTTTTTCTTTCTCTTTCTTGACCTGCCTGTCTCTGCCTCGTGTCCCAGTTCTTATTCTGAAAGGTAAGGTGATACCTGACTGGAAAGGAATGGAGAGCTTTCAGTGCCCTCAACCCTGCGCCCACCAGGTTTTCCATTTTGAAATCTGGGATGGTCCAGTGGTTAGGACACTAGTTTTAGACTTGGGAAATCTTGGAGCACTACAGACTTCCTGTGTGAGCTTGGGCAAGACACTTAGCCTCTCTGTGCCGTAGTTCCCCATCTGTAAAATGGAAATAATAGCACTGCCTTACCTCACAGCGTGTGCGAGGATGAGTATATTAACACTCAGCTATTATGGTAATGGGGTCATGTAAGTACCTAAGGTAGGTAGGTAGATTCTCTTAGCAGCTACTTTCCACAGGACCCAATCAGAGCCAAACTGCTTTGTAGTTGCATCAGTTTTTGCACTACATAGCTCTGCTGTAAATAACTACTTTGTAATCGATGTGACTGTGATTGCTATCCTGCTGCCTATCTGTGATTCTGCAGCCTCCAAATCCATGGTTCTCCTCAGCATCTTAGAACAACAGAAATGGCTGAAGATCCTGTCACTGTAAAAAGTTTACTGTGATCCCCTTATGTCAAACAGATATTTTAAAATGGGCAAAACCAGCAATAAATCTGTATTTTGTTTGTATTGCTAAGGGTTTGATCTCCCAACCAGTCATGTCTAGGCTACTGGTAATGACAAATTACATCTATTTGGACTGAATTTGGGCAAAGCAATTAATACAAGATGTTAAAAAGACAACTGCAGTTATAGTCAGGGATTTGAGGGAATGATTGTATGAAAATGGTCAGTATTTTGAATGCCTACTAAAGCGTTTTGTGATGGGATTGCATGTTTTCAATGGGCCTACAAAAATTTTAAGATATTTGTGTTAGCAAAAATACACATATGCAAGTATCAAAGGGATGCTTTGCCAGTGCCAATGAATACGTTTGCAAAGTTTTTGGGTGCATTTTCAGAAAGCCTGTTAAAAATTTTGCCTGAAAAGTTGGAGGAAAAGCCCTAGTAAAGATGCTAATGAGCAATTTTAGCTGATTATTCTAAATCCTTGTCTGCTGGCCATTCTTGTGTAAAAATCCTTATTTATTAACTCAGCATTGCCATAAGTATTTGCAACTTGTCATATGCTTCAGACAAACCGAACCTACAGTGCTATTTCATTAATGACATTTGTGGGCTGATGTGCTTGCAACTTAGCTGTTCCTGTCTGGAAGGTCAGGCTTTGGTGTTAGATATCAAACTTGCTGAGTCCTAACTGAAATATCTACTGAAATATCTGTACTTCTGTTGCCAGGAAGTTGATTCTGAAATAGTGAAAGTAGTTCAATATAAATGTCACAGATTTCTTTTAAGTATAACATGGTGAATCATAAAGAAAGCACATAAAATAGCTGATCTTTCTTTTTAAAGACATTTATCTATTTGTAACCAAATGTCTAAACTTTTGGTAAAAAAACTCCTTTTAACAAGTATAATAATAGCTTCATATTGTATGTACAGTGAATAGTTTATTTGTAAGTCTCTACCAAAGCAGTTTGTAAAGTACCTAGCACAATGAAGCCCTGACCTCATTGGGGCCTTTAGTTTCTATTGTAATACAGAGTTACAGAGTTACAAATGCCTTGGGAGTGGAGGTTGTTCATAACTCTGAAATGTTCGTAACTCTGAACAAAACATTATGGTTGTTCTTTCAAAAGTTTACAACTGAACATTGGCTTAATACAGCTTCGAAACTTTACTATTCAGAAGAGAAATGCCTCTTGTAACCATCTTAATTTAAATGAAACAAGGACCGAAACAGTTTCCTTACCTTGTCAACATTTTTTTTTAACTTTCCCTTTCTCTTTTTAGTAGTCTACTATTAACACTGTATTGTATTTGCCTTTTTTTTTTGGTTCCCTGCTGCTGCCTGATTGTGTATTTCTGGTTCCAAATGAGGTGTGTGATTGACTGGTCAGTTCGTAACTCTGGTGTTCATAACGTTGAGGTTCTACTGTACAGATAATAAATAATTATAATATTTCAAGCAATTGAAAATATCACTGTATTTCATTTTCAATGCTGCTCCAGTGCCAGCATATGTTACTAACTGAAGCAGTGGTATTACACAGTCTTTCTTTGATGCAGCTGCTTTCAAAACATTTAATATTTAATTTAATATTTTTTCACAGGGGAAAGTTTAGTGATCAGTCGACTGCAAAGGAAATCCCCTAAGATTTTAGATGCTTATGTGACTTTCACTACAGAAGAACCTCTTATGTCTGAGAGACAGATAAGGGAATTAAATCCGCTGATTATTAAGATTCATTCTGCTACATGCCTCCCGATGACTCCTGTCCCAATTGAAGTGCTGCAGGTAATCGAGAATGCTGCTCTTTCTGTAGGATTCCACTTGTCAGTTTAACCTGAGGTGACTTCCTTTAAAATATGGAATACTCTTTTGAACAGTAATGTTCCCTATTTGCCAGGTTGTGCTTCACAACATTTGCAGAACATGCATAAGACATAGACTTCCTGGAAGGAATATGTGGCCAAATTGTCTCCTTCCATTACTTTATGTACTGGCAAAAAAACAATAATCCTGTTGCCTGGGCCAAAACTTATGGACTGTAGCTTTATACTTAGTAATCATGCTTTCATTCCTAAGCAATTTTTTCCCTTCTGATTCTTTGGACAAACAGGGGAATTGTTTGAGTCACAATACCAAGTAGTTTGAAATAGTTTGCTTATAAATTAATGGTCAGATTTTTTTTTTAATGAAGATGATTGCTTTTCCTGTATTGAGAATTTATTTAACTAGAGAAATTGTGCATGTTTCACTTCTTAGCAGAACTAAATAAAATTCCAAACTTTGTACATAATGAGTCCAGTTCACCATTGGTGAGGATATAGCCCAAGAGTTCTGGTCCTTTAACTCTCTGAAGACAAGTAAAGCTTTGTATAGATTTTATAAAATAAGTTATGGGACGAAACACTTTTATTTTCAAATGTTTGGATTTTTTAGGCTTTCTGAATAATTCCTTTTCAAAAGAGAAAGCCCTTTAGCTGAATAGAATACATTAGTTGATATGGAATTAAAGATAGGAGTAAAATTTTACTGCTCAGTTAAATACAAACAGCTGCACTTTTAAAAGTGGCCTGTAATATTGCGTGCTTCCTTTGTTGGGTGCATATCTTGAAAAACCTGGAGTCTGACGTTTCAGAAATGCTGAGCACCCAGAACTCCCATTGACTTCTCTTGGAATTATGGGAGCTCAGCACTTCTGAAAAAGTTACAAAATCAGTAGTCACTTTTGGAAATGTTGATCAAAGGGTTTAATAACCTTACATCCTAAGTGTAGGACTGGGAAGGATCTTGAGAGGTCCTCAAGTCCAGCCCCTGCACTGAGGCAGGATCAAGCAAATCTAGACCACCTCTGGTATGCTTTTGTCCAGCCTGGTCTTAACCTCCAGTTATGGGGATATCGCAACCTCCCTTGGATGTCTATTCCAGAGCGTAACCACCCTTACAGAACTTTGTAATAACACATGGAATTCCACGGTGGAATTTCATAATGCAGTCCATGCATGATTTCAGACCAGCTGGCTCTACATTTTTGAAAAGTAACAGGGAAAAGCACTAGTATAGTAACTCCTCACTTAATGTTGTAGTTATGTTCCTGAAAAATGCGACTTTAAGTGAAACAATGTTAAGTGAATCCAGTTTCCTCATAAGAATTAATGTAAATAGGGAGGGTTAGGTTCTAGGGAATTTTTTTTCACCTGACAAAAAACTATATATTATATAGATATACACACAGTATACGTTTTAAACAAACAATTTAATACTGTTCACAGCTATGATGATTGTGAAGCTTGGTTGAGGTGGTGAAGTTAGAGGATGGAAGAGGGAGGGATATTTCCCAGGGAATGCCTTGCTGCTAAATGATGAACTAGCACTCGGCTGAGCCCTCAAGGATTAACACATTGTTGTTAATGTAGCCTCTCACACAAGGCAACACGAACACGAGGGAGGGGAGACAGCATAGCAGACAGAAACACACCTTGTGTGTGGGAGAGAGAGAGAGATGCACACTGCCCCTTTAAGTAAGCTGACTCACTCTTAAATGCATTGTCTTTTTAAGTGGATCAGTAAGTTGAGACAGCAGCTGCTGCCCCAAGCTCTCTCTGTCTCTCTCCATC